GCACCCAGGCGGTGTCGTAGCCGTCATCATGCCAGGTCTTCTGAAGCGGGTGGCCTTGATATTTGATGGCTTTCACTTTCCCCACTTTGACAATAACCCTAATGACGACCCTGTCAGACTCAGGGTGATCAATGGGATAGCGGCAAGCTTTCTCCAGGTCTCTGCTGAGGTAGACGCCTCGGCCGAGCATACCGTCTGCAGATGGGCAAAATCCTGAGGCCAGGATGGATTGAGCGTTCTTCTTTGTGGTGCCGTGGTACATGATGTACCTCCTACCACTAACTGGCTTAGAGAGGTCCAGGCGCAGTACCCCACTGGGCAGATCCAAGTCATCTTCAGGCCACTGGTACTGCATGTTGGCGTCAGTATCACTGTCCAACAGAGAGATTTATCAGCTTAAAGAGAATCTAATAAAACAATAAAGGAATGTGCAACCAGACTTAAACATGGCTTCTTCTCGCCGGCTGTGAGACTATGTTCACATCATATTTTAGGATATTGCTTTCATGGTAAGATTTGGTAAATTAGAACCAAAAGTGATTTTTTTTTACATTGTTTTTTTTTTGGTGAAATGTTTCAACAGCTACTTGATGATTACCAGTATGTAATTCATGTTCTCCTCAGGATGAATTTGACTAACTTTGGTTAAACTAAAGACATTCCTATCAGCTTCAGCTGCACTTCGTGTCTAGTTCTTATTAGCAAATACTAAACTATGATGGTATAATATGATAATGATATACATTAGGGCTTAACTATACCTGCTTAACACCACCATATTAACATTGTTATTGTGAGCATGTTAGCATGCCAACGTTGGCAAAGGTTGTAGACTCCTGTTATTCTAAGATTAGATTAGCCTGTTTTACTGGGTCAGGTGACAGGAGACTTTAAACTGTCTCATCAAATCCAGTCGATCTTATTTATAAATCCCAAACTCACAAATCACACATTTGCCTCAGCGGGCTTTACCTGTCTAACAAATGAAACTGTTCAGAGCTGTCAAAGACTTCCTGAAGGGTTTTTGCTATAATAAATCTAATAAATCAGTATAAAGATTACTCTTTATTTAGCTGTGCATTGTAATTATAGACTGTTCTGTTGAATAGATTGCTGCTTTGATACACATAAAAACCAAGGATATTGTATGTGGATTTGCTGTCATATATAATATTTCATGTTTCAGATAAAACATACAAACATTTAGTAAAACATATATATGTCTCTTCCATATCGGTCTCTGTAAAACTGCAGACTTAGAGATGAAACAAACTGTGTGCACATACCTTTCTCCAGGTTCCTCCGAGAGTGACGGCTTTGAGTCTGCTCTTCTTTTTATAAGAAACTTCAGGCGCTGAGTGGAACTTTTACATGAAATTGTGTCCGATCTTTGACTTACATTTCACTTCTCACATTGTTTTATGACTTGATTACAGCATTCCGCTGTAAGCCTTGTGATTGTTTTATTGTTTTATTGTTTTAAAGATAAAGATGAACTGAAGATAATGTGTTGCAGCTGTGATGTTTTCAAAGAACAATGAACACCTTCCGGCCAGTCAGGATCAAACCAGGAAGTGTACAAATATAAAAATGTATGGGGGTTATGTGCTAAACTATATCTTAACTCCAGGAAGTGACTGCAAACAGTTGAACTATTCCTTTAAATTATTCATATTACAGGATCAAAGATGAATGTATTTATTCGCCTCCATTGTATTAAAGTGTCTGCAGAGACTAATATCTCTAAAAAATATACTCATCACACTGTCAACAACACCAAACAGAAGCTCAGAGTTATGAAGCATTTATTCTCCAGGTTACAGAGACACAGTAACAAAATGCAACGTCACTGACTTTTTATCCAAATATATAAAAATACATTTGACCGTATAAAATAAATGAGACTAACTGACTGGGCGTGGTTTGATGGTATCGATGACTGTGATTCGACGGGGATCCCAGACACAAATCCTCTCCAAACCGCTCTTCCCCGTTCTACTCTTTAGCAGCATCCAGGCGGTGTCGTAGTCGTGGTTATGCCAGGTCTTATTAAAAATGTGGTTTTTAAGTTTGATGGCGATCACTTCCCCAACGTCGACCTTAACCTTAATGACGACCCTGTCAGACTCATGATGATCCATCGGATAGCGGCTAGCTTTCTTCAGGTCTCTGCTGAGGTAGACGCCGCGGCCGAGCATCCCGTCTTCAGACGGGCAAAATCCTTTTTTCAGGATGGCGAAAACATTCTTCCAGCAGGTGCCGTGGTACATGACATAGGTTTTATCACTAACTACTTCAGGGAGATCCAATCGACCTACTCCAGCAGGTAGTTCGAAGTCATCTTCAACCCACTGATACTCACTGCAGGAGAGAGGTTTATTAGTGTGAAGACTTTAGAAGGATTCCATGCAAAGAAACTCAAATTAAAGGTAAATAAAATGCAACTGTGGTGATAAATGTATGAAAGTCAAGAAAATCATGTTGATCAAACATTTTGAGCGAAGCTTCAGTTAGGAAAAGAAACCTGGGAGAATAAACACACACACATACAAAAAACACGATTATCGTACCCAAATGCAATAAATATACAATATTCTGTAAAATAAAGCGGTTTGTGGTACTCACAGGGATCCACCGGAGGCCTTGACGTGGAGTGGGTGGATGGTACCAATAATCTGGATTCGACGGGGATCCCAGACACAATCCTCCTCCAATCCGCTCGGCACCATTCCACACTTTGGCGGCACCCAGGCGGTGTCGTAGCCGTTGTCATGCCAGGTTGTCTGAAGCGGGTGGCCTTGATAATTGATGGCTTTCACTTTACCCACATCAACAATAACCTTAATGACGACCCTGTCAGACTCACGGTGATCGAGGGGATAGCGGCTAGCTTTCTCCAGGTCTCTGCTGAGGTAGACGCCGCGGCCGAGCATCCCGTCTTCAGACTGCCGAAAACCCGAGGCCTGGATGGATTTAACTGTCTTCCTGCAGGTGCCGTGGTACATGATGTACCTCCTACCACTAACTGGCTCAGGGAGGTCCAGGCGCTGTACCCCACTGGGCAGATCAAAGTCGTCATCTTCAGGCCACTGGTACTGCATGTTGGCGTCAGTATCGCTGTCCAACAGAGAGATTTATCAGCTTAAAGAGAATCTAATAAAACAATACAGGAAAGTGCAACCAGACTTAAACATGGCTTCTTCTCTCAGACTGTGAGACTATGTTCACCATCATATTTTAGGATCTTGCTTTCATGGTAAGATTTGGTAAATTAGCACCAAAAGTGATTTTTCCTGAAAAAAAAACCAATCACAAATAATTTCAGAAACAATATTTCTTTGGTTTGAGGATGTAATGAACCACATTACCGACAACTGGGAACTCGTATGTCCAACTGTAGCAAGTTTCGCTACTACAGAGAGTTGTCTCAGCACAAGGACCACCAACAGAGCTTAGTAAACAAGACAACTTTATTTCTTTCAGCCATACACACTATTCATACAAATTCAAAGTCCTCCGAGGCTTGCTCTGCTTGTCTCTTCCATGTGTGTCGGCCTCGAGGTCCAGCACACTACGGCCTTAAGAGAGGTGAGTGTGATAACTCCATGAGTACCAGCTGATATAATCACCTCACCTGGCTGCTCTCACAAGCCTTCCCCACACCTCTCTCTCCACCTCCACAACGACATATAATACTGAGTGTGTGTCTGAGTTTGTTCATGTTCAGACATCCTGATTAAAATTCTTAAATGTTTAAATAAAAACCTGGTGGCATCCAGGGGATCTCCAGGTGGTTAACGTGGACTGAATTTGGTTTGCTCTACTCTTTATTTTAAGAAAAGGAAATGAAGACAAACTGTGTTGTAGTATCACCACCAGGAGGGGGGGCAGTGATGCGTGCAGTGAATGTGACGGCACTACAGCACAAAAGAGTTGATTATTTCCCTCAATAAATATCCCCCAAAAATCCTACATATACATTCAGTATAACATAAATGAATTATAAATAAACTGTTCAGTATCACCAGCGGTGTGTGAAGGGATTTTGGTGAGGCTACAATATATGAGAGTACAGTTATTGTTCATTGTGTGTGTTTTCCTTATATATATCCCTGCACACTCAGTCCACATAGAGATCAGTGTTATTGGGCTTGTTGTGTACTTTGAGTTTACGGTTTAAGGATAAAGAAATAATAAATAATAATAATCTGTGTGTGCACATACCTCACTCCAGGTTCCTCTGGGAGTGCAGGAGGTTCGCTCTTCTGCTTCTTGTGAGAAACTTCAGGCGTTTGGAAGTGAAGTTGTGTTTTTTACTTTCATTTTGAGACTGTTTCTAATCACAGCGCTGGCGTTGGGTTTCTGTCCTGAGCAGCTGCACAGTGATCCATCATTCAGAGGGTCGTACAGGCCGATGTTGCGCCTACAGTAGAGTTATTAGGGTGGCCTTATAGAGCCTGTTCTTAAATAAAAATACTTACAGAATTACAGTAACATATATAAAACTATGTAAGATTTAGACTGATTTTAATGTGCTGTTTTTTTTTAGATAATTAAAGGGAAGGTCTGCTCTATTTTCATAATTAAAATGTATTTATATTTGAATGATCATATTTCTTTCTCTTTAGTAGGTTAACTAAATAGTCCAATGTAATCCTGTATAAGATGACCTCCACTGTACTCATGGGAGATTTGGACTGATTGTACAATATACTTTTTAAGGAAATTAAAGGGAGTTGGCTCAACTTTCATTCTAAATATAATAATGTCCTTATATATGAATGATCATAATTTATTTTCTTTTGTAGGTTAGCAAAAACTTTACACCAGTGTTAACCGTGGAGCCACAACGTGTATCACACACCTCAGTTTACATGTGATTACATACATTAAAATAATTTTCTTATTCAGAATTATAAAATAATATGTGGTTATCTTGATTTATAATGAGCTGATATTTTAAAAAAAAGTTTACTACATATATGAACATGTCACATATATCACAAATAGTCTCAGTTATATGCAAATGATGAGAATGACCGTATTCTCACAGCCGTTTACTGTTCTTCCTTGGTTAGTGGGCTGTGCACGAGACAAGNNTTTACACAAGCTTCTTGCAGTTACCAGTGATGGAAATAACGGTGCTATAAATAACGGCGTTACTAACGGCGTTACTGTTTCAGTGTTTTTTTCAAGGAAGAAAATACTTGAAGTACAGTATATCTACCAATTGTCCAGTCCTACCAACCAGTTTTTTTTTTGTTTTATTTGCACTACAAAGAGTGTATATATTTGTTATTTATTTTTGGTATAGTGCTTAACAAGCATAATTTAATTTTGCCCAGTTGTGGCCTG